AATCTGGGGAACCCTGTGGCATAAGGCCTGGGCTGCTTGTCCCAGTTGGAAGAACACTCTAATCTGCAGTTTATCTGATATTGTCATTTAACTAGATCTGTATGTTAGCTCACTTAGATAAGCAACTTGAGTACAGGAGCTGTGTTCTTTGCATCTGTAATGCTGTGTATTTTAGAAGGCAACTAACAGATATTGGTTTGATGAAATGGACTAGAGAATCACACAAGGCTGTATCAAAATCAAAATTCTATGAATCATTTATCAGAAAAAATTCTTGAAATTCAAAAATCTTTGGATAATTTTTAAAAAATAGATGCACACATGACAATTACAGAGTAGTCTAGAAAATTGGATATTAAGTGCCTAAAGAGATCCCCAAATTTACTTAAGGTTACAGCCACCCATAAAATTGAGTACTTAAAAAAGCTGGAGGCAAAAAAGTTAGTGGCATTTGAAATAAAAAGGACTCGATGATAATAAGAAAAGGAAACTAGTCACAAGGTAAACTGACACTGGACAGAAACATCCTTGGAGTCTTCCAAGCTGCATTCAGAGATACAGGTGTAAAGGGCTGTGTGAAAATGAATTCTGTATAATATGTTCTAGTTTTTAAAATTGTGTAGTTTATGTATTTTTAGGTAGTAATATGCAAATGAGCTCAAACTCAGTTGAAAGCAACACCAACATGGTTGATAGGTTTCTCTCCTGCAAAAATGAGGTTTTTCCAGATTGCCTCCAAAATCCCCCCGAACTCCAGATTTCTGATTCTGCAAACTCCACTGCATCATCTATCTGTGTGCTTTTTTCCAGATAAAATGACCTTCTATGAACTGTTAGGTAGATTCTCCTAGCTCATTGTCACAGATTCATTTGCACTGAAATCATGGTGCCAGCTGCTGCTGCATTTTGTTTTGTTTTCTTTGCACTCCAGGCTCCAGATAAGAGCTACTGCATTTTCTGTGAAGTCCTAGAAATGAAATATAGGAGGTTTCTAACTTTGGAAAATCACATGTTCTCTTTATTATAATCTTGCTGAGGCTAATGTGATGGGAGACAAGAGCAGAGTAAACTCTGTAGCTCTGAACACCCCTAATCAAAGTGTTTTAGCTTGCATACAGAACATTTCTCTGTTACTGATGTCTCCTGCTTTAGCAATTGAGACAGAAGACGCCTAGAAGCAAAAAGTCTGACCTGAGCACCAAAAGATTGTCATAATTTAAAAAAAAATTCTTTGTAGAGACGGGGTCTCGCCATGTTGCCCATGGCTGAGCTCAAACTCCTGATATTAAGTGACCTGCCTGCCTCTGTCTCCCAAAGTGCCGGGATAACAGGTGTGAGCCACCATGCTTGGCCTGGTTGTCATAAAATTAATGTTATATTGCCGCCTCTTCTACACCTGGTAATAATTGCAAATCTTTATCAACTTTTATCTCTTTCCAACATTCTATCAAAAAATTACTGGAAGTAAGGCTGGGTGTGATGGCTCAAGCCTGTAATCGCAGCATTTTCAGAGGCGGAGGTGGGCGGATCGCTTGAGGTCAGGAGTAACAAGACCAGTCTGGCCAACATGATGAAACCCCACCTCTACTAAAAATACAAAAATTAGCTGGGCACAGTGGTACG